ATGAGCACTCCTCTCTGTCTTCACAGAGACACTGCTACTATAACAGCTTTATCATACTGCATGTAACTGGGTACTGCTGCTTATGAGGAAGAGATTTAATAAGACATGGATGGAGACCAAATCAAACATTATTTTGTTCAGAATAACCATTTTCATCATTTCTCATCTCAAATCACCTTTGACTAAATCCTCTCGCTAATACTGCAGCGTCGCATCAGATTTTATGGAGAAATCTTAGAACAATCTTAAAGTTCTTGCATATCCAAAAATATAATTTTTTCTCAATTTATTGAGATACGAGTGTGGATGAAAACAAAATTATTATATGCATGAATATATGTGCATTTTTTTCTGATTATGATTGACTCTAATATATGTTTTGTAGGGGTGTGAATTGGAAAGAATTTGTCGATATGATGCATATAAAAATACAGTGGAATCTGCTTATAGTGGTCACGTTGGTCCAGAGCCAATTTGAACACTAAGCGGTTGATTACTGAATCCGAATTTACCATTATTTCACTTATATTTTATGTGGAATATCATCTAAATGCCATTTGTATGGTTTTTCAATGAGAAAAATTAAATGAAACATATAGCGTCCTCATTTACTGCCCTTTTCACAGACATAACTCTGGTAGCCGTGTGCCGCCAGTGCATTTTTTTAACAAGTTTGAAGTTTGAAACAAAGAGAACAACAGCATAGCTGCATACATGTAGGCTACAGAGAATTAAAGCTAGCCTACATCTGTTTTCTTATCCATGGTTTTTCAAAACGATGTAAAAGGTCAAAGTTTTTTTAACCAACATGCAGGAGACCAGTCTTTAAAATACAAATTGCATTCCTACACTGGTACCTGCACCTAAGCGCACTTGTACCTCCGCGATGACACCGGAGTGCTGTCATCACTTAAAAATGCACGTATTCATTATTTTTGCGCGTTTACATTCATAAAAAGGCCAAAAATGAACACTATAAGCAGATTTCTTGATTATTATAAACAAATTCTTTAAACAGCATTTGTATAGAACTGATTCTGTCCAAAGCCTTTTGAACACTAAAAGCGGTTGATTACTATATCTGTGACCCTATAAGCCGATTCCACTGTACTGGTGTCACAGTATGATTTATCCCAATACATTGTGAGACAGTACCATTGATAATGTAAGTTAGTTATATAATAATAAAGCTCTGTAAAACCTCAAGAGATCTCCTTGCTTCTCTGCTGCAGGCAGTGTAGAGCAGCTGGATAATACAATCATAGGCGAGTGGCTGTCAGCTAGCTTCTGGGGGTTCAATCCATCATTCAGCACACCTCTCAGCTCCGCCCTGTTCCCAATGAGTCTTCATTTGATCCACCTGGCTATATAACCAGCCCTCAGACCCGTCACTAGTGCCAGATTATTAAGAGCCATCTGTGAGTTTAGTCCAGCATTCCTGTTACCCGGTTCTGCCTCCTGATTCTCTGAGCCTGCCAGAACCCAATCAGACCTGTCATAGTGTGTGTTTGGATCTCTGATCTGTTTTCTGTGCCCTGAACTGGTGCCTTGTCCCCTCCATGGATATTCTCTGGTTCTCGGACCACCTGGCTTTCACTGTGGACCGACTCTGGTTTTCCCCTTTGATTATTTTGGCTGTCTCATATCTCACGGATCTGACCTTGGGCATTCCCCTTAACCACCGAGTATCTGTCAAAGAATTATTCCTCCAAACCTACCTGGATAGATTTAAGAATCCTCCACCTGTGACGTTACACACCAACCTGCTTCTTCAGAAACTCTCAAAGTTTGTCCCCAAACTCAGAGAAGAAGTTTCGGTTTTTGACTCTGGTGAATCCCTCCCGACCTGCAGCAGTTCTATATTTTAATAAACTGTTCAATCTGTTGCTTCTAGTGGAATTCAGGGTCTTCAGGTTCTGGTCATTACAGGGGATTTAAATTTTATAAAAATATAAGACAATGAAACCGAAGTTGGCCAATAAATATGTTGGATTTTTTTTACATTTAATATTGATTCCACATTTAGAATCAATATCATCTAATGACATATATCAATATTGGTATTTTCAATTGATTTACAGTTATTTTCTGAAGAGATATTTTTACATTTTGAAAATACTTTTGTAGTTTTTCTTTTTTGTTGTTGTTGATTATTGTTTATGGAATGGAGCAATGATATCTCCTTTTGGCTTTTTCCCCTCCATGGCACACTGGCAATGCTATATCTAACGCATTATGTATTGTAAGCATATTTTGTTAACATTTTTGTTAACATATTACCATCTGTAACTCTAAACTTGGAGCAAAAAAAGAAACTGTAGACACAAATGAATATTTGTTATAGTTTCTACTTATTTGTATGTTTGAAAAAGCACGATAGGTTAGGATGTGAAGTAAATACCTTGTACAAGGTGAAGGGAGTGTTCAGGGTTAGCTTTGATAGGTTAGCAACACGTCATTGGGTAAAAAGGTGAGGTACAACCTGGAAAGGTTGCCATTTATCTATTAATAAACTTGTATTGGTTGAGATTACTGCTGCTAGCATGCTGTGGTCCTGTCACTATGCTTCTGAATTCTCATCTAACCTTGTTTGCAGTCTATGTATACATTCGTTTGGCAAACGGGTTAATGTGCACATCTCTCAACTGTCAAATTTTGAGTTTGAATCCCACCTCATTCATCTATTGCATATCTGTATTTTGTTTGCTAATTTACCGTAAATCCTCTAATATTGGCCTGTGTTCCATTAGCGGCCAGGCCTCTAATAATGGCCTGTCTGGCTGTCGGCGGAGGTAAATACTGGCCGGACTCGTATACAGGCCGGGGCTATAATTAGAACCAACAATGTTTCTGGGCAGTCCGCCACAACTTGTGATAGTAACACACAAGTACCACAGGGGGGCAATGTTTGCTAACGAATCCAACCCATTAGCATAGGAAGTCCCATCCTTAGCGCAGACAGTGCCGTAAACAGGAGGTCGGCTTGTTTTGTTTTTATGACCGAAATTGCGGGAAAACAACTCGTGAAGTTTGACCAGCTAGAAGAGCGAGGTGCGCGAAAACGGTGGGACCCTTTTTCCACCTGGATCTCCGCTCTTTTTCGCCCTCATGTCCCTCCGTTGTCGGACTAAACTCGCCCCCACTTCCTAATTGCCTCGGCCGTAGCTAGACCCACAGCGTATAGCGCAGACCACGCTTCAATATTGAGCATAAATCAAAAATGTCTGCGTCAAACTCACTGCGACACACTGCAGCAGGAGTTTAACCAGCCCTTATACAATCTTTCTGATCTGAAAGACACATGTGATTACCGGTAGGTGTGGTGGTAAACAGGTAGCGTTAAAACGACAGAATTTCGTTGGCCTTTGTTGTTCTGAATTTCCCTTGAAATATATGGTACTGGTAGCCTACTTCCACTTAGCCTGCCTCAAATAAAATTTCGCTGTGATGACAGAACAGTTTCCATTAATGTTTTTTAAAACCTGGTCTCGCAAGTCAGTTTGGCCAAGATTCCATTCTGTCTGTTTTTTTTTGTTTTTTTCATATTGCCGTGCAGAAAAATTGCAGCTGCTGGAAGATGTTTGAATAATGTTCTGTATACCGTTATGGTAACTGTACTTTTTCAATAAATGAACCTAGTATTTTATAGGTTCAAAGACAAAACAAAATCTAGTTTTTCATTCCACTGGTAGTCTGTTTTGATCAAATAGAAATAGAGGCCTGCCTCTAATTCTGTCCTCCTTCCAACAATGGCCTCGACCAAGATTTACCTGAGTGAAATAAAGGCCCCGTCCTATATTAGACGATTTACGGTATGTTAATTAGGACACTTCTCTGCCTGTGCAGACTAATATTTGAGCGTGCTGCACTTACAACTATATAAAAACATCAATTAATTATCCTAGAAATAGTACTGATAGTTTAAATGATTGGAACCAACTCTGCTGCTCAGTAGTTCCCCACAGGTTCTCCATGTTCTTGGGGTGGTTCTGAGAGATGAAGATGATTGTATGAAATTATGGCTGTGGGGGGTAGAGATGTGTGTGTCTCTATCTATTTCAGATCTATATGGATGAAGCAAAATATTCTGACTCAATTGTAAACTAGACTTAAATGTAACATTGCTTTCCCTGTCTTTAAATAAAACAGTGAATGGTAAATATGATATGAGCAGGGATTCTGATGCATTAAAATACTTAAGTAGTATAGACAGGCCCAGATTATTCGAATTTACTGTGAAGCTTGATACGAAGTGTGACGTAACGAGGCCTCGCTCGCAGCGCTCACATGACTGCAGTGCGCTCCGAACACTTATCAGCAACACTTCTGCTTCAGAAAGGTTGAAGCTGTGTCAAGCAGACTGACTGGAGCCTAACATCACTGCATCTACAAAGCTCAAGGTAAAGCCTTTGGTGCTTTTCCCAGATGGCAGCCCAGAGCACCTTTAAAATCACTGCTCCTTTCAACCTGATCCGCTCTCCTCTGTGCTCACCTGGATTCCTTCACTTCCACGACAAACTCTGTCAGTACCAAGACTCACAGAATTTCCTGGACCCAACTTAACCTCCCCCTGTCGGATAAACCCCAACCTCCAAGTAAGCTCTTTCTACAATTCAGATTTCCCTCTATTCAGTTCAACGTATCTAAGTCTCCTGTCCATCTTTTATAGACCCCTGCCATTCCTGTTCCCAGTCTCCAGAGGTCACATGATCATTCTGTATAAATAAACTGTTTAACTTTCTCCTGTTTCCTGACAGTTTTCTGTATGTGGGTCAAACAACTTCAGAAAAACATGACAGGTCCAAGCATTTTGAGCTGTTCTTAAACTTCTAAACCAAGTCTATAAGTAAAATACTTAAGTGTGTGATATTAGAAAGCAAGAACTGCGTTTAAGGTTTTAGGAAAATGTTTATGTAAATGAGAACCTACAGAAATGTAGCTGCATCAGTGCCATTTGTAGTCTGACAGTTTGCTAATGTGTGTTTGGGAATGATGCTCACCAGGGTGCTGAGCCGGCTGCGGGCGTTCACAATCTGCTTCAGAGCCAGCTTAATCATCGACGGCAGCCTAAGAACAACAGCCTCCATATCCTGCTCCCCTCTCATGCCACCAGCTAGCTTCCCCAGTCCATCAATGTAGGTCCTCCAGTGAGGCTGGACCTCCGCGGCGCCCCCCAGGCAGCCCTGCATGACCATCTGACAGAAGCCTCTGCATGCCGGTGGCGCCAGCATGCCCTGACAGTGCGGGCAGTACCACAGCCTTAGCAGAGCCCGGCTGCAGTCCCTGCTGGGCCGCAGATGGTCCGTGGTGTTCACCACTTCGATGCCCAGGTTCAGCGCCTGCAGGAAGACTCGTGTGGCTAGGAGGGAGCGAGACAGACGGGTCATGATCAGTTTAGGATAAGGACCAAATGCCGTCAAATCCTTCCAGGCTCCTCGTAAACACTCCTCCGACATGGAGGAGGAGCTGCCTCCAATTAGTCGGCGGTACGTGTAGGGAAAGAGTTTGTTGAAGAACGTCGCCACCATGTGGTCCACTGTCGAGTCCGAGCCGAGGATGTAGAGCGACATGTCCAAAAAGAGCTGCCCTACAGAGCTCTGAACTCCAGGGAGGACACCAGGGAACTCCGACTTCAGCATGGTCAGGGTGGAGTTACGGCCATGACGCAGCACCAGGTCGAAGGCCTCTGCAAGGAAACAAGACAGAGTCAACAGAATAAAAAATTCAGCTAATAACAGAGCCTTGAAATACACAAGAACTGTAGATGTAAAAATGTGGAAGAAATATAAACTACACCATAAAACAAACTGCTCAATAATCACTGGAGAAAACGACCTATTTTCAAACTCTTATTCCATTTAGTTTAGTTTTTCCTCCATCCACTGTTTTCTCTTATGGGAAAACTTTCAGATGTACAGAAAAAAGCAAAATTCTGCAATAATACATGACAACTTGAAAAGAAAAGGCAACAAAGCTTCTTGAGGAGATGAAAAGTTGGCCTGTCAAAAGCACCCTCAAAGAACACCTTTTGTTTTTTTCTTAAAAACAAAAACACATTCATGTCACAGATTTGTCGAGTGGGAGCGACTTGGATGTGAAGATTTTTTTTCTGAGGAGAAAAGCATTCAGAACAAGGACGGGTTGCATGGCTGATGTGCAGGAAGCAGAAATAATCAGTGCCATTTCCAGGCACAAAGAGAAGTCTTATCAACAAGGTGGCACGAGACGCCGGAGCTTCGTCATTGACCCAGTGGCAGAGCGAGTGAGGCCCAACAACAGAGGGGATTTAAAGCTCCATTACTGAACTTAGCAGGGGAGCTGAGAGTCGGTGAAATGAAGCTTTGGACAGGAGAATGGCTGCAGATGCCAAAATCCCATTTATACCACAGCAAGGCCACTTAATCACTTTGTCGAGAGTGATGACCACAAACTGCTCTTTGAGGACGGGAGCGCAGGCGGAAACACTGGTTTAAGGGACATTAGAGGGACTTGGTTTTTGTGCTGCAACAGCTTGCTATTTCATCTTTCTGATTAGATTTTTCCTGCCTGGATAGTTTAATTTCTTGCTTTTCATGCTTCCCTGGGGTCAAATGAGGCCCGTCAGCAAACTATAAGGTCCCTGGAAAGCTCTGAGAAACAATCCGACAGCCCTCTTTGCTGACATGTTGAACTTCTAATGTGTTTTTCTGCTTGCAAGCTGTTTCCTCGTTATGATTTTGCCCTGTCTCTGGCTGTTTAAACTCAAAATTGAGACAACTGTAGGTGTAATAGTAATGAAGTTACTTTTGCCACTCCTCTTTTTTTAATGACCAGAGACCTAGGTTTACTTCAATACTATTTTCACTTCCACTCACCCCACAGTTATCTTAGTTTTGTTTTTTGAATAGTTTGGGTCTCTGGACCAATATCCCCCTTATTGTGTCCGAACCACATAAGGAATCAAAATAAGAAACTGTTAGACAGCAATTTAAGTCTCATCTGACCAGAGTAAAATGTCCGACTTAATGTTAAGCAATTTGTTTATGTCTGTAATGGTAAGACAGGAAACACTTTGTGTTTCTATGTCTGCAAATCAACCAGTTGGCATTTAAAAACTGTCAAATGATTATCATGGAGATGCACACTCAACTTTGTCTATGAACGCAATCTTCCTGGATTTGCTGTCTTTGGTTCTGCAGAACAACAACCGTTTTCCTAATGGCCTCAGAGTCAGTAAAGCAGACTGGTTTTGATGCTCAATTTAAACAGAAAGGAAGTAAAAAGACGCAAAGCGAAAACGATGGAATAAAGTCATTCCTAATTGAGGCACCATTGTAATTTGAAGTAGAAAGAGAAGAAGAAAATCATAATCATCGTTTCTCTTCTTCTGCTCACAATCACAATCAAGGTTTTCCTTACTTGCACTATGCTGCTGGCAGTGATTTGAAGGGAAGCATTATTGTCGCTATCAACTCCACAATCAAAACCCTTATATACTGTAGATTGGGGCTGCACACAGTAGTCTGCAGAGACTCCTGGAAAAACTGGAAGAAGTTTGCCCTTAGCAAAATCCAAACTTGTTTGTCATGGTTTAAGATTTCTCAAACTTCTCTGAGCTGTCTTGGATAGGTGGCTTTTTTCTTGTGCCCATTCTCTGAATTATGATGATCTAAACATATTTATTTTACGTGATGATGTCTTCTCCTGTCTTTGGCATTCTAAAAAACGGCAAAAAGTAAGGGCAGAAAAGTCACTGATGTTCTAAAATGTTTTGCTCAGATTAAAAAGAAAGGGTTAAACATTTTCCTGTGTGCTGGGAGATTTTGAAAAAATAAACTATTTAGGGTTAGGTTTTATGAAATAATTGGAACAATGAAATGCTTCAATATCTTTTAAAGAAAAGTGATTATTTTTCAGGAAACATGCCAGAGTTTCACAACAGTAGCGAAAATGACTAAAATCTTGCATTTAATACAGCTGATCAAAATATTAATTTAGAACAGCTTAAACATCTTGTAAGAATGAAGGAAACTAGACTAGGTTGGTTTAAATATTATTTATCTGACAGATTTCGGTTTGTTAACGGCAATCAGAAATATTCCTCAAGCTCTGTGGAGTACCACAGGGATCAGTACCTGGGCCAATTTTATATATATATATATATATATATATATATATATATATATATATATATATATATATATATATATATATATATATATATATATATATATATATTCTAAAATCTGATCTGCTCATTAAATAATCTTTATTTGTGGCGTTTTTTAAGTGAATCAAAGCGAGACTACCTACCTTCAAAAAGAAATCAAATTGAAACATATCTTACTAAGAAACAGCTGGTTAATAATTCAGACACACTGGTTGTTGAGGTTGTATGCGATGCATTGGCCTCATTTAGAAAAAAAAAATTAAAACTTCTACACAGCCAATAAATCACAAGTTATAAAAATAACATAAACATTTCCAACATAAACGCATTCAGCCCACTGATAACAAAGGAACAATCTTTAAAGTATATTTGAAGACTTTAAAGATAGAAAAGGAAACCTCATCTCAACTCATAGAAACTGCTTTGAAAGGTGCAGAAGAGAGGAGGGTGGGAGCAGCTCACATCTGTTTGGTTTTCCAGGCTACGGCTGTCCTGCTGCGTCTGGAAGCAGCTCCCTCTGTGATCACTGAGCAGACAGATGTGCAAATTGTCCACAGAGACAAGAGACAGACTGAGACACCCAAACACTCAAAACTAGAAGACCTACTTAAAAACTGAAAGTTTTCTCTTCCTAGAAAGACATGAGGTGTTTTTCTTGTGTTTGGTCATTGATTCAATTCTAATGGCTGAAATTAAAGCTGTTTTATTCTGCTTCTTGCCTTTGTATCTCTAGAATCTTCCGGTAAGCAGTGCAATTAAGCCACTATCTGTGGCATCTCTTACAGCCACTTTGTAATGGTAAAGAGAAAGACTAGAGGGCTCCTCATAAATGCATTTCAATGACTCCAAGTCAGCGGGTTCATAGTGAGAACCAGTCGGAGCGCTTTTTCAGCAGGTCCTGCTCCCTCTCTGTCATCAATGAAAGCCCCAGCAGGATCAGGTATCATTTAATGGAGGAGAACGGGGTTGTGTGTCTGGGGCCTGTGACATCCTGGATACAACCGTTCTGAGTTTAAGAGACCACGTTAGAGACAGAGAGCATACAGGCTCATGCTTAAAATTAGAAGCAGCGCCATTCATTTAGTCAGTGTCACAGAGGCAGACCAATGCATAACGAAAAACCTCTTCCTCATGAGACTGAAACTATTTCAAAGTCGTATCAGCTGAACCTGGCAGAGTAGAAATTTCACAGAATGTCCTATTTTACCTCCTTTGGGATGTAGCAGTAGGCAGATAATATTTACTCTGAGGATTTGAGGGCTATCGGCTTACCGTCCTTATCAGGTTTGATATAGTACAGTTTTTGTCAGGTACTCTGTCATATTGCGATATATTATTTATGTACACCGTGTATCTTTGTGAATGCTTTATCTTGACATGTTTTCTGAATATTGCCATTGTTCATGCAGGGTAATTGTACATTAATTAAGAACTGCAGAAAAAACTGCTTAACCCCTGGCTGGTTTGCCATAATGTTGCTTCTAATTTAATTATCAATCCATGCAAGGATTTAATTAAAAACTTCCAGCACAACCTTAAGCTGACCTGGACAGCATCTTTTTAGAAAAAAACACCACTATATTGTTTACAACTAATAAGCCTTTATAGAACCTAATTCAAGGCTTATTATTATTGTTAAAGTCATAGGGAAACGGCTGTTCCATCCGTTGCATTTCCGAATTCTCCCAAGTGGTGCACGACTTTACACGAGTGAATAAAGTGAATATGATTGCTTGTTTATCAAGAGGGCAGGGTTGTTGTGGCGGAAGGTTTGTAAGCAAGTTTGGTTGTGGCCGGTGTCTCAGAAGCATCTTGCTAACCAGTTAGCAACTTAGTGCTAGTAGGTTCCCAATGGGAAATTCCATTGGGACCAAGTAGCACTAAATTGGTGACTTAGAAACAACACTGTCAAAGAACGCTATGGACAGAGGAATCATGCAAGAAGATGAGAGTTTGAGTTGGAGGTCGTGGATGAGTCTCCTTGTCATCCATTTTTTATTTAGAGGAGGAAAGAGGGGACGAAGATGTTGTGGAAGAGGACGCCAGGGCGGCAGAAGCTTGGTTTGGTGTAGAAGGCCTCCAGTCGTACATGTTTGAGCCCTTGCCTCGCAACGCTGCCAGTTCTGTTAGCTCTACGCCTGCTGAAGACACAGACGTCCATCCCCGTGAACACTGGGACGGAACTCAATGGGAAGGAAATTATTCTTATTTTTTATTTCAGCCATTGCGTATATTAGCTGCGGCATATGAATCAAGATGCTACGACCGAAAAAATGTGATTGAAAGATGAACGTTGATTTATAATTGGTCAATTTAGCTGTTCAGACTGACGTATAACTAACTGGCCTGCATAAGATAACAAAAAAAACAACAACACAGATTTTAAGACAGGACTTTTTTTAAATAGAAATTTTCTACATTTTGGGACAATATCATCTGATAAAGAATACATTTATATACATGTTTAAGCCAGAATTATTTGACATTTAAATATGATTTCCCTATGTTGTTCAGAACAGCAGCAAAAAACTGCTTAA